CTACATAGCCATGAAAAGAATAAAATTATGTCCTTTGCAGAAACAAAGATGCAGCTAGAGGTTATTATCTTAAGTGAATCAATGCAGAAAAAGAAAACCAAATACTGCTTGATGTGGTTTGGCTCTGTGTCCCCACCTAAATCTCATCTTGAATTATAGTCTCCATCATACCCACTTTTTGAGAGAGAGACTTGGTGGGAGGTGATTGGATCATGGAGGCAGTTTCCCCCATGCTGTTCTCATGATAGTGAGTGCGTTCTCACAAGATCTGATGGTTTTATAAGGCAATTTTTCCTGCTCTCTCTTGAACTCCTCTCTCCTTCTTCCATGTAAGATGTGCTTGTTTTCCCTTCCACCATGATTGCAAGTTTACTGAGTCCTTCCCAGCCATGCTAAACTGTGAGTCGATTAATGCTCCTTTGTTCATAAGTTACCCAGTCTCAGGTAATATCTTTATAGCAGTGTGAAAATGGAGTAATACACCATATTTTCTCACTTATAAGTGGGAGCTAAATGTTGGGTACTCATGGGCATAAAGATGAAAACAATAGATATTGGGGACTGCTAGTTGACGGAGGGAGGAGGAGGGGAAGAGTTAAAAACTAACTACTGGTACTAGGCTCAGTACCTAGGTGACAGGATCAATCATGCCACAAACCTCATCAACATGCAACATACCCAGGAAACAAACCTGCACAGGTACTCCCTGAATCTAAAATAAAAGTTGAAATTATTTTTTTTCTAAATATTTGAGAATTTTCTATTATTGATTTCTTGTTTAATTTTGTTATAACCAGAGAACACACTTTGTGTGGCTTTATTTTATTAAAAATTGTTAAAGTTATTTTTTCACTTTTTTTAAAATTATACTTTAAGTTCTGGTATACATGTGCAGAACATGCAGATTTGTTACATAGGTACACACTTGCCTTGGTGGTTTGCTACATCCATCAACTTGTCATCTACATTAGGTATTTCTCCTAATGCTATCCCTCTCCTAGTCCCCCACCCCTCAATAGGCCCCAATGTGTGATGTGCCCTATGTCCATGTTGTTCTCATTGTTCAACTCCCACTTATGAATGAGGACATGCAGTGTTTGGTTTTCTGTTCCTGTGTTAGTTTGCTGAGAATGATGGTTTCCAGCTTCATCCATGTCCCTGAAAAGGACATAAACTCTTCCTTTTTTATGGCTGCATAGTATTCCATGGTGTATATGTGTCACATTTCCTTTATCCAGTCTATCATCGATGGGCATTTGGGTTGGTTCCAAGTCTTTGCTATTGTGAATAGAGCCACAATAAACATACATGTGCATGTGTCTTCTAGTAGAATGATTTATAATCCTTTGGGTATTTACCCAGTAATGGGATTGCTGGTTCAAATGGTATTTCTGGTTCTAGATCCTTGAGAAACCGCCACGCTGTCTTTCACAATGGTTGAACTAATTTACACTCCCATAAACAGTGTAAAAGCATTCCTATTTCTCCACATACACTCTGGCATCTGTTGTCTCCTGACTTTTTAATGATCGCCATTCTAACTGACGTGAGATGATATCTCACTGTGGTTTTAATTTGCATTTCTCTAATCACCAGTGATGATGAGCTTTTTTTCATATGTTTGTTGGCTGCATAAATTTCTTCTTTTCAGAAGTGTCTGTTCATATCCTTTGCTCACTTTTGATGGGGTTGTTTGTTTTTTTTCTTGTAAATTTTTTTCTTGTAAATCTATTTAAGTTCCTTGTAGATTCTGGATATCAGCCCTTTGTCAGATGGATGGATTGCAAAAGTTTTCTCCTATTCTGTAGTTTGCCTTTCACTCTAATGATAGTTTATTTTGCTGTGCAGAAGCTCTTTAGTTTAACTATATCCAATTTTCCAATTTTGGCTTTCATTGCCATTGCTTTTGGTGTTTTGAAGTCATGAAGTCTTTGCCTATGCCTATGTCCTGAATGGTATTGCCTAGGTTTTCTTCTAGGGTTTTTATGGTTTAAGTCTTATGTTTAAATCTTTAATCCATCTGGAGTTAATTTTGTATAAGATGTAAGGAAGAGGCACAGTTTCAGTTTTCTGCATATGGCTAGCCAGTTTTCCCAACATCATTTATTAAATAAAGGATTGTTTCCCCTGTGCTTGTTTTTGTTAGGTTTCTTGAAGATCGGATGGTTGTAGATGTATGGCATTATTTCTGAGGTCTCTGTCAATTGGCCAATCTGTGTCTTTTAATTGGGGCATTTAGCCCACTTACATTTAAGGCTAATATTGTTATGTGTGAATTTGATCCTGTCATTATGATGTTAGCTGGTTATTTTGCCCATTCATTGATGCAGTTTCTTCATAGTGTCAATGGTCTTTACAATTTGGCATGTTTTTGCAATGGCTGGTATGATTTTTCCTTTCCATATTTAGTACTTTTTTCAGGAGTTCTAGTAAGAAAGGCCTGGTGGTGATAAAATATCTCAGCATTGGCTTGTCTGTAATGGATTTTATTTGTCCTTCACTTATGAAGCTTAGTTTGACTGGATATAAAACTCTTGGTTGAAAATTCTTTTCTATAAGAATGTTGAGTATTGGCCCCCACTCTCCTCTGGCTAATAGGATTTCTGCAGAGAGATCTGCTGTTAGTCTGATGGGTTTCTCTTTATGGGTAACCCAACTTTTCTCTCTGGCTGCCTTTAACATTTTTTTTTCCTTCATTTCAACCTTGGTGAATCTCATGATTATATGTCTTGGAGTTTCTTTTCTTGAAGAGTATCTTTGTGGTGTTCTCTGCATTTCCTGAATTTGAATGTTGGCTTGTCTTGCTAGGTTGGGGAAGTTCTCCTGGATAATATTCTGAAGAGACTGTTTTCAAATTTGGTTCCATTCTCCCCATCACTTTCAGGCACACCAATCAAATGTAGGTTTGGTCTTTTCACATAGTTTCATATTTCTTGGAGGCTTTATTTGCTTCTTTCCATTCTTTTTTCTCTAATCTTGTCTTCATGCTTTATTTCATTAAGTTGATCTTGAACCTCTGATATCCTTTCTTCTGCTTTATTGAGATACTTGTGTATGCTTCACAAAGTTCTCATTCTGTGTTTTTCAGCTCCATCAGGTAATTTGTATTCTTTTCTAAAGTGGTTATTCTAGTTACCAATTCCTCTAATCTTTTTTCGACATCCTTAGCTTCCTTGCATTGCATTAGAACATGCTCTTTTAGCTCCAAAGAGTTTGTCATTACCCACCTTCTGAAGTCTACTTTTGTCAATTCATCAAAATCATTCTCTATACAGCTTTGTTCTCTTGCTGGTGAGGAGTTGTGATCCTTTGGAGGAGAAGAGGCATTCTGGTTTTTGGAATTTTAGCTTTTTGTGCTGGTTTTTCCTCATCTTCATGGATTTATCTACCTTTGGTCTTGGATGCTGGTGACCTTCAGACAGGGTTTTTGTGGGGCTGTCCTTCTTTTCTTTTTAAAATGGTGATGCTATTCCTTTCTGTTTGTTAGTTTTCTTTCTAACAGTCAGGCCCCTCTGCTGCAGGTTTTCTGGAGTTTGCTGGAGGTCCACTCCAGACCCTGTTTGCCTGGGTATCACCAGCAGAGGCTGCAGAACAGCAAAGATTGCTGCTTACTTCTTCTTCTGGAAGCTTTGTTCTAGAGGGGCACCTGCTAGATGCCAGACAGAGCTCTCCTGTATGAGGTGCCTGTTGACCCCTGCTGGGAGATGTCTCCCAGTTAGGATGCACCAAGGTCAGAGATCCACTTGAGCAGGCAGTCTGTCTCTTAGCAGAGTTCAAATGCTGTGCTGAGAGATCCACTACTCTCTTCAGAGCCAGCAAGCAGGAACATTTAAGTCTGCCGAAGCTGCACCCACAGCCACACCTTCCCCCATGTGCTCTGTCCCAGGGAGATGGGAGTTTTATCTATAAGCCTCTGACTGGGGCTGTTGCCTTTCTTTCAGAGATGCCTTGCCCAGAGAGGAGGACTCTAGAGAGTCAGTCTGGCTATAGCAGTTTTGCTGAGCTGTGGTGCATTTTGAACTTCCCATCAGCTTTGTTTACACTGTGAGGGAAAAACCACCTACTCAGGCCATAGTAATGGCAGACGCCCCTCTCCCCACCAAGCTGAAGCATCCCAGGTGGACTTCAGACTGCCGTGTTGACAGCAAGAGTTTCAAGCCAGTGGATTTTAGCTTGCTGGGCTCTGTGGGTGTGGAATCCACTGAGCTTGGCCACTTGGCTCCCTGGCTTCAGCCTCCTTTCCAGGATAGTGGACGGTTCTACTTTGTCTCGCTGGTGTTTCAAGTGGCCACTAGGGTTTAAAAAAAAAACTCCTGCAGCTAGCTCAATGTTTGCTCAAATGGCTGCCCAATTTTGTGCTTGAAACCCAGGGCCCTGCTGGCGTAGGCACCCAGGGGAATCTCCTGGTCTGCAGGTTGCAAAGACTGTGGAAAAAGCATAGTATCTCAGCCAGAATGCACCATTTTTCATGGCACAGGCCCTCATTTCTTCCCTTGGCAAAGGGAGGTAGTTCCCCCACCCCTTGTGTTTCCTGGGTGAGGCAACACCCCACCCAGCTTTAGCTCACCCTCCGTGGGCTGCACCCACTAACCATTCCCAATGAGATGAGCCATGTACCTCAGTTGGAAATGCAGAAATCAGCCACCTGCTGCATTGATCTCTCTGGGAGCTGCAAACCAGAGCTGCTCCTATTCTGCCATCTTGACAGACACCTAAAGTTTATTTTATGACCCAGAATAAGATCTATCTGGGTATATGCTCTGTGGACACTTGAAAAGAATGTGTATTCTGTTGTACATGGGTGTAGTGTCCGTTACAGTAATCTAATGTCCATTAGATTAAATCAGTTGATAGTGTTATTCAGGCTTTGTATATCTTTGCTGATTTTCTATCTATTTATTTATCAATTATTGAGAAATAAAATTTTGAAGTTTCCTAATTGTAACTGAATTTTTCCATATATCCTTTTAGTTCTATCAGTTTTTGATTTATTTATTTTGGATCTTTGTTAGTTGCATAGTATATTTGACTGTTTATCTTCTTGGTAAATTGACCTTTTTATCATTATAGAATGTCCCTATAATCTATCTATATCTTTATATTTAAAATAGGTTTCCTTTAACCACAGAAAATTTCAGAAGTAATTTTTTTTGAATAAATTTCCAGTCTCCTACCTCCCCCAACACCTCCAAATTGCCTCTCTTGCTGTCTCCCATCTCAGTTAATGGCCTGTCAAACTTTCCATTTGCTCAGGTACAAAACCCTTAGAGACATTCTTAACTCCTCTATCTATTTTACACCCTCTTTCCAATGTCAGAAAATATAGCCTGTTCTTCCTTCAAATGATGTTCAGGGTCGGCCCACTTCTTACCATCTCTGCCACCTGGTCTGAGCACTATAGCCCTCACCTGGCTTCTCCCTGCATCTTCATAACAGATATCCCTGCTTCCATCCTTGTTCCTCTGCACTCTGTTATCAACATAGTCCCCAGAAAAAATCCTGTTAAAACAGGAGTCACACCAAGTCATTCCTCCATTTAAACCCTCCAAAGGCGCCCATCACAAACACAGTATAAGCCAGAGTCATCACAATGATCCATAAGGTCCTGGACGATCTACTGCCCCTTTCTCTGCACCCCGCAGACCTGTTTTCATACTGCCTCCACTTCTGCGCCCCCACGCTGTCACCTTGCTGCTTCAGAAAGGAGGCTGCTGCTGCCCCCTCAGAGGTCATGCACAGGTTCCCTAGCTCCTCTCCTGCTTTTGCTCTGGGCATCTTCCCAGCAGGGCCTACTAGATCCCCCACCTCAGTGTGCACGCCCTCACCCTCCAACCCTCTATCCCCTATTTCACTTTCATTTTCTCCTGGCTCTTCCCCCATCCTGACACCCTGGGTGTTTTCCTCCCTTATCTCCCTGCCAGCCCTCTCTGGAATGTGAGTGCCATGCCAGTATGTGTGTGTGTGTTCATGTGTGTGTGTGTACTGGGGCAAGGGGGTTGACAGGTTTCTTTAAGGCCCCACTAGCTGCACATAGTCAGAACTCAGGCAACATATGGTAAGGGGATGAATTTTCCATTGGCTTTGCTCTCCTCTATACGTTGTGAGGGAAGAAGCTGCCTCTTCTTATGGGTGCTTTCCCGTTGGTGCCCAGTGGAGACCCTTCCACAGCCTCTCATGGTATTTGTCAGACGAATGAACAAACAAAAAGAGAAATGAACACACTGAAGAGCTCTGTTGCAGCCGCAGCTGGCCTGGGTTGTATATGTCATCTTCTTCCAGAAGCCATGGTCCTCCTCAGTGCCTTTTAAAGCAGGCCACACGTGGGGACTTTGGCTTCACAGGGTCTGGCCTCCACTCATCTGCCCGGGGAACTACCCTGCCCACAAGCCCAGCCATTCTCTCCCACCATGTCCTTCTAAATGCTTTCTCTTGCACCCCGAGGCCCCTCCTGATAAGCACGTGGGCCCTCCAGGCCCTCTCTTACTCTCAGTCACTTTTCCATCTCCAGCCTCACCCGCCATGTGCCTGGTGAGTCAACCTGGGAGGATGTCTCCAGAAGTCTGCTTTCAGCTTCTGCCCTTCGGCAGAGTGAGGGCCAGAACACCTCTTCCAGAAAGTTCCCTGACCCACTCCTTTTTAGTGTGGGAACTCAGTCCCTTTTGTTTCCCCCTTAGCACCCTATACTTACCTATATTGTGTTTTAGTGCCTGCCTCACTTGTATATCCTCCTGCCGGACTGCGAGCCCTTGAAGGAAGGAACCAGGCCCCCTCTTTCTTTGTATCACAATGCCAGACCCAAGAGGAAGCTCAGGAAGCACTCACTGACTGATTGACTGGATAAATTTATTTAATAGAACCTAGACCATGTTCTGTGATAATAAATCTTTATATTTGTGTAGCAATTTGCAGTTTGCAAAGTAATTTCCTACTCATGATCTTATTTTGACCTCCAACAACTCTGCAAAAATAGCAACTCATTTATTCATTTGTTCCTTAACTCGTTCACTGATCCTGTGTCAGGCACTGTTCTAGGCACTGAAATGCAGGTACAAACAGAACAGACAACTATGCCTGCCTTCATGGAGTTTACCTTCCTGCAGGAGGGACTGTCATGCCTATTTTACAGATGGGCAGACAGAGGTTAGTCCTGGGAGGCTAAGCAACCTGGACAAGATCACAGGGCTTGCAGGTAGAAGACCCCCCAGTCAGGATCAGGGCTGTCTGATTCCAAGTAGAGGGAAGACATTTTTCACCACAGTTGCTTTAGGGATTATGGGCTTATCCATAAGGCATCTTTTATTTTTTTCCAAGTTAACAACAAATAAAAGGAAACTTGGCAGAAATCCACACCCTGGGACTACCTTGGAACTCCTTCCCTTGTCTGATGTATGTGTTTAACAAAGATGTGAGAAATACCTGCCAGGTCTCTTCTTGCTGGAGCCAAGAAGACAGAAGCCACCCAACATTGTGAGCACGTCTGCTTGTGTGCAAACCCGCAGGCATTTTTAGCAACTTTGGGGAACATAAAGAAAGCTGTTGGTTTTGTTTGCACATATTTTTCGCCTCTGCAGAAGCTTCTCACCAAGCGGCAGCCTCAGAATTGCCTTTTATTTGATCTTAAGACACAGAGTCTTTACAGCTCACTAGCTGAGCTATAGTTGGCAAACTGCTTAACCTGCTCTAACTTCTGTTGTCGGGAAAATGGATCTGATAATAAAGGTCTCTGTCTCTCAGAGTGGTTGTGGTAATTAAATTCAGAAGTGCCAGCCTGCCTGTGAAGGTTTGAGGCTGGAAGGAGGCAGCTTGGGGAGGAGAAGGCCTTGTTAGAATCTGCAGAACCTGGGATTCCAGTCCATCAGCTGCAGAACCTTCACTCCTCCAGCTTCAGTTTCCCTCATCAATGGGAATATTAGTACATATCCCAAAAGCTTGTTATGAATGTCAGCAATAATGTATACATTGTGTCCAGCACTGAGTCTGCACATAACTATTGTCTAGTAAATGTCACGGGGTGTGCGTTATCATCATCATCATTACTGTTATTTGTGTGTGGGTGGTAAGGTCAACAAGGATTTTAGAAATTTGAGACTAAATCTGTTGAGCCAAGTATTATGTCTTATGTATGCCTGTATGCCTGATGCTCAAAACGCTCCCCAGCAGTTGGCAACTGCTCAGTAAAGTCTGAACAACTGGATTAGATGAAGGAGGAGGAGACCAAGTCCCTCAAAGTGCTCAGGCTTGAAAAAGAACATGTGTTTACTGCATATTTACCACACGGCACACCTTTGTCTTTACTTGTGTTTGTTCCTCATAGAGACTCACAAGGCAGGTATCATTATTATCCACACTTTACGAATTAGGAAACTGACATTAAGTCATCAAATGACCTGCTCAAGGTCGCACTGTTGGTGGGTAGCACAGTGAGGGCCGGAACCTGAGAGAGTCTGACTCCTGAGTCCACACTCTTAATGACCTCTGCCCTGCACTGCCAGGAAGGGTTCTGGTTTGAGGTTTCCTCTTGTTCTAACCTAGTTGACTTCCTGGCCCTCTGGTTGTTTTTGATGTTCCATGCCAGCAGAAAGAGCAAACCTTCTCTCTCCAAAGCAGCTAAGCAAGTGATCTGCATGAACAGCCCATGTTACTGTTTTGGTGTGTTTGTATTTTAATTTTCCCCCATAACAGTAGGCACTGGAGGTGAAAAAGGAGGCAGCCATCAGCTATCTATCTCCCAGGAGGGGATCACCTCCTGGGCAGTCCCATCTCCCTGGAAGCAGATGTTGCTTCCTGCCACCACAGGGCAGAGGGGTCCCTACCCATGCCTCTCTCCTGGGAAGCAGGCCCTGGAACCCAGAGCTGAAGGAGAGGACAGACTGAGTAAACCTCCCCCACGACTCCCTACCAGAGGCTGGGAATTAGGAGATGCCAAATCCCACCTCTGCTCCCAATCCTGCAGCTGCTTCCTTTAGGACATCACAGTGGATATTTCCAACAGCCTTCTGTGCCACCTCATATTTAGCTGTAGAATGATGGCTCCTCAGTGCAGAGAGGGGAAGAGGCTTGCCCCCAGTCACACAGCCATCAGTGGAGGAACCAGGACTGCCATTTTCCTCATTCCCAAGCCCACGATCCTTCTACAGTGTGATACCGGGGCTGGAGATCAAGCGCCAAACGAGTTGTTTTAAGGACTCTATCAATTCTGTTTTGGAGTGGCATGATAGATACATGGCAGCTCAAAGTTCCATTTCTAAAGTCAGAGCAGCCAGAGTCTGAATTTCGGCACTGCCCCTAGTCTAGGGACTCTGGACAAGTCACATAATGTCGGTGAGCCTCTAAGTGAAGGAACTGGTACCCCTGCCTCACAGGCTGCTATGAGGATTAAATAATTGGGTTCATATAAAGCCCTCAGACCACTTCTTGGCAAACAGAGAGCTGTCCACACATATTAGCTTTATTTGTTCCTTAATTCTTCAAACATATATTGGATACTAAAATGGCCATTTTGCAATATTTCATTCAATATTCACAACAAAGCTCTAAGGAATTAAGATCTCCATTAAAATAGATGGACAAACACAATGTTAGAAAGGTTAAGTGACTTCTACAAGGTCTTTTGTTTAGTAAGTGGAGGCCTGGATTCTCTGACTCCAGAGCCTTATTTTCTATGCTAGTTCATGGAGGTATTTTGTATTGTTTCATTGTTTTGTTGTGTTCTAACACAAGGGTGAGGTAGATGAACTAATATTATCTTACAAACTGATATAAAATGCACATGTGTGAGATTCCTGTTATTCTTATTAACTACCACAGTGCCTACCTTCTCTCCAACTTTGGTCTACTTAGCATCTGCCTCATTAAAAATATATATTCCAAGGCCCTGTCTCCAGATTCACTGAACCAGAGTTTCTGGGTACAGAGCTATTTATCAAGCTCTCCAGATGTTTCTAAAGTACACTTAAGTTTGGGAACCACTGCCTTTGGAAGTCAATAATCCAGTAAGCACTGCTTGACTGGAAGAGGGAAGACAGTTTTCAAAAAGCAAAAGTCACACAGCAAGCTTAAAAAGCCAACTTATGTGTCAGTATCAGGTATGACCAGGAGGGACGGGAAGACGAGAACTCAGGATGCCAAGAGCAGAGCGGGCAGAACTAGTGATCTCCAGTTGCCCCAGGTGTAGTACCAACAGGGAGTTCAGGCCGAGAGTAGTAAATATCAATCAAAGTATTTTGGCAATGCTGACAGGGGTATCCCCAGGGGCAGGGAAAACATCATGTTATCAGGTCTCACAGCAGGTGATAGGAATGGCCAGGAAAGAAGGTAGCAGGGACCAAATTCTAGCCTTCTGGGAAACTGACTGGAGGAAAAGGTAGGTAGTGGGGCTCCCACAGAGTCCTGGTTTGCATAATAGAGATTTAACAAGATCATCCTCATCAGGCAAAAGACCAACTTGCAAGTTCAAGGCACAAAGTCAGAAGGGAGCTAAGAAGAGAACTTGATTCTAATAGCCCAGCAAAAGCCCATGGGATAAGGACAGTGGAGTGTCCATGGTGGAAACTAAGTGGTCCTATCAGGGCTGCAGCAGGAGGGGGTCAGGAATTTATAACACACCCGGTTAGTCATTCCTTCAAGCCTGCCACTTACCTGCCGCACACTGGGACCTATTTTGATCCTGGTCCTGCCATGAGCCCTGTGACTTCAGTCAAGCCCCTTTATGACTCCAGGCCTCATTCTTCCTCTGATTCATGAAGGTCCATATGTAATGACTCTAATCAAGGTCTGTAGCAGCTCTTGCAGCTACCTCCAAGAGTTTCTGTGAGAATTAACTGTAGACATGCACCATATAATGATGCTTCAGTCAACAACATATCACATATATGACAATGGTTCCTTAAGATGATAACACTGTATTTTTACTGTACCTTTTCTATATTTAGATACACAAATACTTACCTTTGTGTCACAGCGGGCTACAGTATTTAGTACAGTAACATGCTGCACAGGTTTGTGGCCTAGGAGCAATAGGCCATACCACACAGCCTAGGTGTACAGTAGGCTCTCCCATCTAGGTTTGTGTAAGTACACTCTATTATCTCACGACAATGAAATCTCCTAGTGAGGCATTTCTCAGAACATATCCTTGTTATAAGTGAGGCATGACTGTACTATATCTATGAATAAGCCAGAACCTTTACACATTTTTTTTACAGTGGAGTCTTGCTCTGCCACCAAGCTGGAGTGCAGTGGCACAATCTTGGCTCACTGTAAACTCCACCTCCTGGGTTCAAGCAATTCTCCTGCCTCAGCCTCCCAAGTGGCTAGGACTACAGGTGGTGGCCACCACACCCAGCTAATTTTTGTATTTTGAGTAGAGACAAGGTTTCACCATGTTGGCCAGGATGGTCTCAGTGTCTTGACCTTGTGATCTACTCACCTTGGCCTCCCAAAGTGCTGGGATTACAGGTGTGAGCTACTGTGCCCGGCCTACATATTTTTTGAATTTGTTATCTTGCTAGTTTCTATCTGATCAGTATACACCCATCTTCCTTCCATCCCCAAGCACAAACAGAACACATGTGTCTAGTAGATTTCAAGCTAACGTTTCTCCTACTGGCCAGCCTGACTTGCCTGGGTTCTGTGACATGGATGACAGCAGAGAGCTCTGCTGGGGGCCTGAGAACCTCATCTTGTATTCATGCAACAACAGAGGGGAAAAAAAAGAAAAGGAAGAAGGAGAACAAGAAGGAGGCACCAAACACACAACATTTCTTGATGGGGTATCCAGGTCTCTGTGGAACATAGGAGCACTCTATGCAAGTGACCAACTCCAGGAGACAGGCCACATGGAAGTACTTGATTAATCTGGAAATTTATGAAATTATGGGGCAAACTAATCTGCTCACCCAACAAATACTAGGAAAAGGAAGCAAAGCTAATATATTTCCAGGCTAAACAGCAGCAAAAGGAGGGGGTAAAGATTTGCCTGTGTGGCAAAAATGACTGAAATTTTAGAAAGACTTAAATCCTGGACAGATAAAAGGGTATCTTGGATAGCCGTGGTGGTTCATACGTGTAATCCCAGCACTTTGAGAGGCTGAGACAGTGGGCCAGCTTGATCCCAGGAGTTTGAGACCAGCTTGGGCAACATAGTGAGACCCCATCTCTTAAAAAAAAAAAAAAAAGCGGAAAAGAAAGAAAAGAAAAAAAGGTATCTTGAGTACTCACAAGTGGCAATGGGGGTCAGTGGTTGGGCAATAAATGGCCTTTAGAGCATACAGCTTTGACAATTATGAGCTGTGATATTGAGGACAAGGTATAGAGCCTCACTTAGCCTTAGTTTTTAATATGTACATGTAGCTACTACCTGTTTGTTGAAGAAACTAAAGATAACTGCACCATATCTCATAGATCTTAAATTATTGATTTCAGCATCTCTGAAATTAGGATATGTCTTATAATCTGTCACATTTTAGAGTCTATGAAACAACAATATGTAAAACTCATTACAGCTAGTGCTTGACTTACGACCACGATTGGTTCCAACAGACCGGCCGTAACACGATTTGGTCATAAGTTGAGTAGGCTATATGCACGCAGAAATGGTAGTGCTGCCGGAAGTTGGTCCGCACTGTTGTATGCCCAGCTGGGCAACGTTTGCACTGCCAGACACGGAGCAGTCGTGGCTAGCGATTGTGGTCATAAAGTCGAATGGTCGTAAGTTGCACAGGTCATAAGTCAATCAATACCTGTATACAAACTCAATACTTATGGACAATTATTATCTAGTAAGAGCCAGAAGTTGTGTCCTGTAAGACATCCTGCAACACACATAAGGCAGCTGACAGCAGCACCAGGATGGCCAGATTACTGGAGAACAGGAACCACATCTTCTGTTCATGGTACACTGTTCATGATCTGTTGTATGAGTGGATATACCTAAAGGGCCCTGAAGTTCATCATTTCAAATCCGAGATTCCAGATTCTGTGGACATTAATGTTACCATAATACTACCAACCACCAAAGAGTGTCATATTTTCTGAAACCAGAATCACGACACATAATTTATCACCTACAAAATGAAATGACACTCAATGTCTGATCTAACTCAAGTCATCTGCTGTGTCCAGAACCATCTAGAACAACCCAAAGTTCTTAGAACCATATTACTTCCCACCTCTGAATGTTTGCATGTGCTCTTCCTTCTGCCTGGAACTCCCTTTCCCCTCCCCTCCGTTCTGCTTTTTTTCTCCTGTGCTAGAGGCATTGGACACAGGATGGGCAAATGGACAAGGCCCATACATCACTTGCAGCCTGGCAGAGAAGACAAACAAGGACTAACAAGTAAGGGCAGGAAGTACAGGGAGTGCTGAGATTAGGAAATGGGGTGAACCTCTCTCTACACTGGCTGCCTGGCAAAACCCTGCTCTTCTTTCGAGAGAAAACTCAGTGTCCTCTTTTTGTGAGGCTTTCTTCTGTAAGGCTGTCCTGGGTTAGGCTGACCTCCCCATCAATGGGCTGCAACCCTGTGGTAGCACCTTTCACTCTAAATCCAATTCTAGATTGTGAGCTCCTTGAGTGCAGGAATGTGTCTCATTCATAGCTTGATTCCTAGGACAATGGCACGCACATAGTAAGTGCTCAATAAGTGTTGCTGAATGAAGGTGATTTGATAAAGGATTTATTTGTGATTGATGGATTTCTCCCTATGAAGAACTTTATGAAAAATATAAATTGTCAATTGTGTTAAGCTCTGTTTTGTTTTTTTTTTACTGGGTCTCAGCATAGTCTCCTATATTCTTATAGGAGAATAAAAGAGGAGAAATATGCTGAGTACTTGAATTCCCTATTTTTTCTTTTGTTCTATGAGTGGAACCCTTCCATCAACTGCAATTGTACCCAGAAGCCCAAGGTATAATATAAATAAAATCTGAACTTCTCTGAAGCTAGAGGTGGGACTCGAATCCTCAAAGCTCATCTCCACTTTCCCTTTGCCACGAAGAGTACATTTTGATACCCTCCATCCTCTCTGTCACCTCTAACACTAAATTACCCTGTAATTAACTATATCTCGAGTAGCCAGAATCACTGGGACCAGATATTAAAGCCAGGAAGATGACAACAAATACTTTTAGAGTGCCTAATACATGCCAGAGCAGCCAGGCCTTTTTAAAAAGGATCTCATTTTTTTTTAAAGATCTGTTTAATTTTTTTTTTAATTTTCAGTTTTTGTGGGTACATAGTTGGTGTTCCTTTTTCCTTATCGCCCCATTCTCTAGTCCCAAATTATTTATTTTCAAATTAAAACGAATCTTATATTGTTAGCCACCTTAAATGCTTTTGGAGAACAAGTTAGCTTTATAAACAGATATGAATACAAAATGCAGTATTCATTTAATCCTCACAACAAATCTGTGGAGTTAGTTTTAGTAATTCTGTTTCATACCTGAGGTCAGCGGGGCTCAGAGAGAAAGAGAAGTTGCCCAACATCACTGCAGGAAGTCTCAAGCACAATCCTATCTCCCTGCTGGCGGGGCTTGCCCTGCCTGGCACCACTCTCACTAATAGGTTGACATTTACTAATTTATTTAATCCCAATAAAACCCAGTGAGGTGGATACCGCTGCTGTGGTCACTTTACAGATGAGAACACAGAGGATTACACAGGTGAAGTAGCTTGTCCAGGGCCACATGACCAACAAATACCAGGACAGCCCTTGAACTAAATCATCCTGTTCCACGCCCCGAGCCTGTGTTGTCCCCAGTGTGGAGCCCATACTCTTGCCTCAGAGGCCTCCTGCCTCGGAAGTCCTTGACTTCCCTCCTCCCTTTGAGGGCCGTCTCTTTCCCTCCTGTGCCGAGCTGGGAGAAATGCAGAAAGGCGGGGGCCATCAGAGCAGACCCAAAGGCAAGTACCAGGATCATTAAGCAAACCAGACCACCCGGGGGCAAGTTGGAGTCTCCCCGCAGCCTGACTATGTGACCTCTCCCAGCTCGGTCAGTCCAGGTCTCCATTTCCTCAGCCACAGGTTAGTTAATCGATGTCTCCATTTTCTCAGCCACAAAATGGGGATTATAACAGTAACAATCTCAGAGGTATTGTGGTAGGGCATGAAAAGTGCTTCCGTGGGTCTTGCATTCATGAATTGCACCAACTGCAGATTAAAAATATTCAGGAAAAAATAATTGCAAAATTTCAAAAAAGCAAAACTTGAATTTACCGTGTATCAAGTATTATGTTAAATCCACACAAGTGAAGTGATGTGTAGGCATTGTGCTAGGCATTATAAGTAATCTAGAGATGATTTAAAGGAAGGCAGGCCTGTCCTAGGGTAAAGCAAGCACACTTGTCCCAGGCAGCTGGAGGAAGGAGCTGGGAGGGCAGAGCCAGGAAAAGGTGTTATGCAGAGGCAGGAGCACAGCCTAGGCAGAAGCATAGAGGTAAGAGGTATAGCATCCGCAGGAGAAATGGCAGGAAGCCAGTCACTGAGGTGCCAAGGGCGTGTGCATGGGAGGGTGGGGCCAGGCCACAGAGGGCATTGCAAGGTAGACCAGCCCAGTCCAGTTCCTGGGCCTGAGAGGGCTCTGATGAACTGCCCAAGGTGGTATTTCAGGGAGATTATTCAGGCTGACTGGACAGAGGCATTTGCTTTGCAGCACTTTCCTGCCTTCAAACCACGAGCAGTATTTTAAAAATGAAACTCATCTCTTACCAACATTACGTACATAGTTCAAAAAGGCAGTAGTTCTACAAAGCCCATTCCCCAGCCCCATTTCCCTCCACTCCCAAATCTTACCACCCAGAGCCAGCCATGGTTCAATATTTCGTGCAGTATTTACGTCTGTGTTTCTAAATACTATGTCTACACATCCCTTTCTTAATTTTTTCATTAGCAGTATGGCTTATTGACTTTCTCTTACAAAAGAGAAGGACTTAGCTCTCTTCTCTCATATAGACACTTTACCTTTCCCAACTTTCCAATCTAGTTATAACATTCCTTTTGCTAGATTAGTGTTTATAGCATTGTGACCACATAAATCACAGCTGAGCCATATTGTATCATGATTAAATTTTTGCTTTTATATGACATTCTTGTCGCTGAAACTGATGCCCCATTTAAAAAACCTATTAGCTTCATTTTCTAGGTACACTCATCCCTCTCTCCTTGGTGAGAAATCCAAGTCTGCTCTCAAAATCTTCAAGCACATCAGGTAATCAAGCCATCCATCTTGCCTCCTTCTGGAGCTCTCAGTGGTCCTGCTCTCACCGGATGTTGGGTCTCTGGCTGCTGCCGAGCTGTAGCTGTCCCCAGGATGTGGCAGGGGCATCCTTGCTACCAGACAGGTGAATATCATTAATCTATAGATTTTACTCAGAAAATACCTACTGTGTGCTTCCAGATGCCAAAGAGGTCCCAGGCTGGAGGCTGGAGATCCAGAGATGACTTGGATACTATTTTTACCTTCAAAGGGCTGTCAGCCCAGTTGGGGTAAATACAGTAAGTTATGGGCCAGAGGTGAGCCTGGACGTTATGGGAACTCAGCCTTTGGAAGAGCTAGAAGTTATGAAAGGCTTCCTGTAAGAGGTGATGCCAAATGAGCCTCGGCTTGTTAGGAGGAGCTTTCCAAGTGTTTTGGAACAGATTTCTGGTATGAGAATATCATGTGCACAGTCACGGGAGCATGACAAGACATGACTCTTTCTGGAAATTTTAAGTAATTAATTAGTGATGATCATGTGGGAGGGTTCCAGCCGAGTGGTGGGCAGGGTCCTCTGTGCCAGGTTAAGGGTATTTGTGGTATTTGGAGACCAGACATGCTGAGAGGGTGGATGCCCAGAGACTGAAGGAACGGGACCAGGGCCTAGAGTCTCTATAAATTGGAGAGCAGAAGCAAGACTGAAAGGCCATGAGGGTGGATAGGGTTGGTGCAGCCTGATAGGTAAGAGCAGCAGCTCTAAGCTCAGGCAGCCCTCAGTTTAAATGCCAACTCTGCCACCTGTTTGTTGAGCCTCAGTTTACCCATCAGCAAAATGGGGACCATAATACTACCTACCTCGTGGAGTGGTTGTGAGGATTAAATAAAACCTTGGCCATAAAGTGCTTGGCATGATGCCTGGAACATAAGAAGTGCTTCGTTTTGTGACTTCCTATTGCTGGTCTTGAAGAGTAAAAACTGCTTCAAAAATCAGGTGTCATTTGAGATGTTCTCAGGAAAGGAGTAGGCAGAGATGGCTTCATGGGCAGGTCCACAGGGCCATGAGCACAGAAGAGCCCCATACATGGTTGAATGTTCTCCTCTACCATCTTGAAATTCTCAACAAGTTTTCGGCAAGGAGCTCCACGTTTTCTTTTTCACTGGATGCTGCAACTTCACTAGCTGTGCTGTCACAGGACACCATCAGGCAGAGAAGGGGAAGGGAATGCTTTCAAAGCAAAAGGGGCCTGAGTGTGCAAAGGCATGCTGGAACTCAAGGTTCAGCCTGTTCCCGGAACAAGCAGCACAAGGTATGATGTTCCTAGCCGGAGAGTTGTGTACAAGGGGACAATGGTAGAAGCTCAAAGTGGAAAACAGTGAAAGGCCTCAAATGCAGCACTAAGGAATCTAGCTGTTACATATTGGATACGTGGGGGGCTTCTAAACATTTCAAATCTGGAAATGTTAAGGTCAGTGATGTTTAGGCAGAATACTGATGAAACTGGAGGTGGAATGGTGTGGAAAGTATTGTGATCTTATTTTATAGAAGAGAAGGCTGATCCCCATATAAGCAGGGCTGTGATATGATTTTCATGGGCCCTAGGCAGTTTTGCCTGTGTGGACTCCCTTTTCCAGAAAAGTGTGTGTGTGTAAAATTATACTTTACAACTAAATTGACATAAAGGCAAAGATCTTACTATTCTATATGAAAACATTTTCTTATAGACCCAAGGTGCTGTGTCTGCTGTGCTGAACAAGAAAGTCACCTGGGATGTCAGTTGCTCTCTTTTCAGATGTTGTAGCCAGGACTCCTGGGCCTTCCTGGAATGGGTGGGCAGTCTGTTTCTCCTCAAAGGGAATGCTAGCTAGTCCCGAAGGCCATTTCAGCTAGGGCCTTCTGTGCCTCCAGGGACACTGTGTTCCAGTCTACTACAGAAGGAACTGATGGTTGTCTGGGTTTGGAACTGGAAGGTGGGGCTGACTGACAGGTAAAGGAGAGAGGGCTGTGAATGTCCCAGGGTTTGGGGAGAAATCAGAGGTCTCCTATCTGCAGACGTTTGCAACTATACCCTTATGTCACCTGCAACTTCAACCCCAGGGACAGGCTGCCTACCTACTCCACCCACGGGGAGGGCGGGGAGGCTGAGTCAGCGGCGGCAGCTGAGGATGTTGTCTGGAGAGGAGAAAGATCACTGTCTGTCTGTCTGTTGGGGTTCCAGAGAAACCTGTCTGGAGAGGGGGAAGCATGCAGGCCTTTTGTTGCACGTCAACTGCTCACGTAGCCAGGAGAGTTGATGGAGGTTCCAGAAGGGTAGTCCCTGCCTCACCTCCTTCCTGAGGCTTTCCTCCATGATCTTCACTGGGCTTCTCTTCCTTTCCTCCTGAAACCCAGGACAGTGACAGCATGGCCTAATTCATGAGCTTCAGTCCAGTCCTCCCCTTCTCCCAGCTTTGGCTAGTCATGTACCTGGTGGGAAGGGAGAATGGTAAACGAAAGACAGCACAGGGAAAGAGGGGGTATATTTGGGAAAGAAAAATAGATCTGGCATAGCTGTCTCTTTAGCTCTCAATCTTCAAACCACCTTTCTCTAGGCCCTAGACCCCTTCTTACTAGGGATATATCAGTGAATGAATGAATGATATTCAACCTTTCCTGGTCTTAGAAGTCACCCCTCCTTCTGTCCTCCAGTTCACACAGTCAGGAGATACCCAAATGCTTCTAAAATAAAAAGGAAATTGATCAGAAAGGAAACCTGCAGATCAATTTGGATGAGAATTATTGAGAAAGTTTCCACCTGATTACCTCTATTTTCTCTACAAAGGTTGAAGGTTTGGTGGGATAATGAATAATAGAAATCGCTATTGCATAGAGGAGAAGGGATCTGATGGAATTTGCAGACACATTACAGGGCAGTGTGTGGCCCCTGTGATTTTGGCAGATAAGATTAATAGCTAATGTTTCTTGAGCAGTTATTATTGTCCGGGCACTGGGCTTAGTGCTCTGTGTACATGACCTCTTTGTTCTTCACATGCACCTAGGAAAAAGGTGCCCCAGTCAAAATGAGCCAGGTCATGATGCAGAAATTAAAAAAAAATTCTAGGTGGCTACATACAGAAAGGTCTATTTCTTGCTCATGCTCCATGCATCCATCAACGTGGCAGGGGGAAGAGGTATGGCGAGTTGCAAATCTGAGAAACCAATAAGGTTTGAACGACTGGGAAGGAAACGAGGGAGGGGTTCAGAGTCTGGAATTCAGGAGGTCAATGAGCCAGTCTGAGGAGAGCTCTGAAAAGACAAGAGGGAGGGGTCAGAGTGGGACCTGCTGTTTGAGATTTCAAAGGTGGAGCAGTAGCCAGCCAAGATAAGAGCTGGGTGTGGCTCTGAGTGTAGGTGGCTGACGTGGAATAAAGCAAAGGTCCCTCGTGCTGAGGAGGTCAAAGGTGGGAAAGATGGAGTCACGCTTCTAGTCTTGGGAAAAAGGGAGTCTGGAAGGATGTAACAAGTTCCTGGTGAAGTATAGTTCAGCTGCTTGGGGTGTAAATTTTACCAGGATATGAGGTTTGTAAAGAATGTTTTTTAGTAGTCAAACATAGTAATAAAATAAAAGATTTCAAAAAAGTGTGTGTGGAGGTCCACATGCCTCTTCCGTGGAAATCTGGAGAAGCACTGCGTGTGGAGGAGCCACTTACATGTCAGAGATGACAGCAACCAGACCCAGAGACACAAACACCCAAGGACCAGGGTCTTTTTTGATTTCCATGTAATGATGATAATAATAAGAGCTAACAGTTCATGAGAGCTTATTATATGCTAGACACTGTCTTAAACTCTTTAGATGCGTAGCTACTTCAGTCATCTCATGACGCCCTATAGGGACATCCATTTTTACTCCCATCTTAAGGAGGAGGAAAAAGAGGCACAGAGGAATTGTGTAACTTGGCCAAGGTTGCATCACTAGCATATGTCACAAGTGGGATGTGAACTCAAGTAAACCGGCTTTAGAACCCATACCCTTAAATGCTGCACTAGTGGTTTTCCAACACGGGTAACCACTAGAATTGCCTGGGGTGGGGTGGGGTAGGGTGGAGGATTTGTTAAAGCAGGATATTTGGCCTCTCCCCTAGAGTTTCTGATTCAATGGTTCTGGAGTGGAGCCCAAGAATTTCCATTTCTAAGAAGTTCCCAGGTGATCATTGAGCAGCTGGTCCCCAGGCTGCACTTTGAGAACCTCTGTTCCACTTCATACCACCTCTCAAACAGACACACACAACATCTCTTCAGTGCATGGCAGATCCAGCATCTCTTTCCAGATGTGACTACCAAATGTGTGGCAGCAAGTGTATGTGTGTCACAGGAAGGTAGAGGATTAAGGTGTAGGTGGCACTAGGGGACGTGAAAGAAGCTCAGTCCTGCTTCTTGGCTTTGATGTGCGTGGAATATGGAAAAGCAAACCATCTCCATGGAGACAGCAAGGTATACGGGTTCCACTTCAGATCCAGAGACAAAGGCAAGCAGAGAGGTGAGGTTTTAAGTGGAGTATATTTGGCACAATACAGGGATACTACAGGGCACAGTAGGAAGAGAGGACAAAGAAGACAGCAGCAATGTGCAAAAATGAGCCAGAGTGGGGTGTGAGTGGGGTATTACTGAGGGAGACAGGAGTTGCCTAAAGAGAGCACTGCTGCAGAAAAGAAATGCAGACAGGCAGTGCTGGGAGGTATTCCTGAAGTTGATGCTCTCCAGTCCACTTTCAGAATCTTCCCAGCACAGCATCTTCAGTGATGACAAATAAGATAGAAGCTGATGCCCAAATAGAAGTGAAAGAGCTGGAGGCTTCTCAGGGAAAGGGAAAAGAAAGAAGTTCAGAGTGAGTCAAAACCAGGTGTCAGCCTCTGCAAAGCCAGCTTTTAAAAGCTGAAATTGATGTGTAGCCAAAGTGGCCAACTTTTTACCTTCTTATGAAAATCTTCTGCCCTTCCCATTCATTCCTTTGCATGAATGTGTGGGCCACTGCTGTTCCCCACCCACCATCTCTCTCCTGCAGTTTGTGGTCCAGCTTAATTAAGAGTTCTGCTGGTCGATTAGTCTCGTTCACCTCACTAATTGGGCACCAGCTGTGTTTTCTCTTGACAACGACTCCTTTATGGAGCCTCTAAAATGCATTACATGAAGAAACATAACTGTTTCAGGGTTACATGATTATAAAACCAGGAACACTTGTTTTCTATAGAAATGAAGAGTTCATCTTTCTATGTTCCAGAAACTATTTTTTGAAAATTGGGGAGGGAGAGTATTGAAGGGCGAATTCTCTGTTTATGTTCGGAATATGAATGCTGATTGTGGTTTTGCATAATCACAGGTGTTGGTGCATAAAGACTTAGGAAGTTTCCTGGCAGAAAAGCGAGACTTGAGAAATTGAACCATGAATGGCTCCATTTACGAACAGCCACCAATGATTGACAGAATGACTATTAGTAGCTAATATTAGCTGAGCTCTTCCTATGGGCTTAACCCTATGCCAAGCACTTGACACGGATTACCTTGTTTAAACCTGGCTGTTGCCTTATGGCCTTATTAGATGGGTGCAACTGCTTTCCCCATTTTCACAGATCAGAAAACCAAGCACCAGAAAGATGTAATAATTCATGTTTAAGGTCACACAACTCACCATGAAATGGCTGAAATGGAACTGAAACTCAGGTCTGTCCTATGTCAAAATTCCTTTCTGTTTCTCTCCAGCTAAACAATGCAGTTAACTGGTGGAGCAAAAGTGCTCTGCTTGCAACAATTGCAATATCAACAACAATGTCCCCTAACATTGGTACAGAGCTTCCAAATCACCAAGTTCATTTATGTTTGCTGTCTCATATGATATGACAGCCCTGTGGGGGAAACAAAGCACGGTTAGGTCTGAGAGATACTGCCCTGAAAGAGATAGATATGGTTCTTACCTCCAGGGAGCTTTCTTTCTAACAGGGAGGGGAGATTTGTACACAAGTAAATCAGATCATTGCTGCTGATCGGGATTTGCATCATGTGGGGCTTACCAGAGTGATGTGATAGAAAGTTTTTGTACTAGAGCTGTTCACATACTATTGAGGCAGACCTGGCAGGCCTGAGGCATTTTCCATCTCACGTGATTAGTAGGGGCTTTACAAACTCAGAGCCAATGTGCTTAACTCAGAGTGGGAGGATTGAGTGGTGGGAAGTCAGGAAAGGCTTCCTGAAGAAGCAGCATCTGAGTGGTTTTAAAGACAAATGGAAGTTATCTAGGAAAGGGGTGGGGAAGGTTCTAGGCCTGTGCAAGGACAGGTGTCAGAAGGCCAGCTGGTACGCTGCAGGGGTGACTGAGCCTCAGTGTGCAGTGGGGAGAAAAGAGGTAAGGGAGACAGGTATCAATCAGGTCCAAGAGCACCTCATTGGGATGATTGGTTTTATGTGTCAACTTGGCTAACCTATAGTACCCAGGTATTCAACCAAACACTACTCCAGGTGTTGCTGAGAAGGTATTTTGTGAATATAGTTAATATCTACAATCAGTTGACTTTAATATTAGCTGTATTAGATATCATAAAGAAGACCGTCCTCAATCATCTGAGTGGGCCTCATTCCATCCATTGATAGGCCTTAAGAGCAAGACTGAGATTTCCCTGAGAGGGAAAGGATTCTGCTTGTGAACGTCAGCTTCAGCTCTGCCCAAGAGTTTCCAACTGGTTGAACTCTTTCCAAACTGCCATGCATATTTCAGACATGTCTAGCAAGATCCCACAACTACAGAAGCCTATTCCTCTAAGTAAATCTCTGGAGATAGATCAGATGGACAGATAAGATAGATGATATATAGATTCAATAGATAGGTAGGTAGGTAGATAAGACAAACAGACAGAGAGACAAGACAGATGATAGGTAGATAGATAAGGAGATAGATGATAGATAGAACCCTAATCTCTTACTGATTCGGTTTCCCTAATAGAACTCCTTCCTGACTGATACACACCTACCTAGCTAAGAGACTTAGACTTCATCATTAAGGTGATGAGAAGGACTCGTGGAGGGTTTAAGCAAAGGAGAAGCATAACCAGATTTGTGTTTTTAAACAATAGCTCTGGCTGCAGTGTACAGTGGATTGGAAGGGGCGAGGTTGGAGGCTGGGAGACCAGGTTGGAAGCAGTTGCCTGAACTAAGTCATGGCAGTGAGAACACCCTGAAAAGAGGGAACCAACTCAAGTGGTACTACGGAAGCAGAACTGGCAAGACTTGGTGGCCAGTTGCACAGAGAGGGTGAGGATGAAGGGAGCTGGAGTTGCAATGAGCCCCAGGGCCTTGGACATCCTGGTAGGAAGGAGTGTAAGCGCTGTAAGAGCCGCAACTGTGTCCTGTCCTTTGCTGTAGTCTTTACTCCTTGAATAGTACCTGCACCTGGAAGGTGTTCATTACACATTTATTGAATGAACTGCAGTGCACTTCTCTGAGATCTGAATCAGGGGTTGGATGATTGGGTGGTGAGGATGAGGAATACACAGTGCAGAAGAACCTCCTTTCCCCTAACTCCATACGCTCTCAGAGTGACTTCAGCCCAGGCTTATGATATTAAGCACCCTGGGAGTATATGGAGTGAAGAGAAAGGAGGTTGGGGACTGAATCTTGGAGAAATTGCAGCATTTAAGGACTGATGGAAGGAAAGGGTCCCTTAAAGGAGAATGAGAAAGTGGCCAGAGAGGGAGGAAGAGAATCAGAGGCCACAGTGGCAGAGAACATGCAGGGACAGGGTGCTCCCGCTGCTGCTGAGGGGTGTCATTTAGATTTACAACAGTGACTTGGCCTGAGGGTGGAGTATGGGAGAAGAGAGAGGTTTTGTTTGGCATTGAGGGGACAGAGGTCAGCCTGCAGACATTCGCAGAGGGCATGGGAAAAGAGGTAGAAGAGGCAGGGTCTCCAGTGGTCTCTCCCAACCTTCCTACCAAAGAGTTGACAGACAGCTCATTTCCACCTCATTTTAAAGGGCCTGAAACTGAGGCACGCAGAAACAAAGCTGGTTCAAAGTCAACAGCAAAGGGGAGTTCTGCTAGAAGACCACAGCTGTCCAGACCACACACTACCTTTTATGACTCGGCAGGATACAGACTTTGAAAGAATGGCTGTGCAGGGTGGGGCTTAGGCCCTGTCAGGGCTGATCGCTGCCGACGTGCAGGGCATGAGCCTCCAGGGCGTGCGAGAACATTTTCTCAAGGGGAACTACCTTCCTTTGAAACAGCTTGTTCTGCTGAGTTGACAGGAGAGAGGAATGGGGACTCCGCAGTCCCGGGCCTTGTGCCAAAACACGGAGCAAAGGCGCCAGGAGGCTGGGCCTGGCTGCAGCTTCCCTGGGTCCTGTGTGGGCCATCCCAGCACCTATACCCTCTCAGGGTACTGGAGGGAGGCTGTGTGTGTTGCGCTTGTTTGCTTTGAACTAATATTAAAAGAGTACTTAACTATGGGACAAGCCTTGTATTCATCATTTTATGTGATTGAATTTACTTAATCCTCATTACATTCTATAAAGAATGTATGCTGATTGTCCTTATTTAAGGATGAAAAAACTATCCCAGAGAAGTCAAGTCACTTGCCCAAGGCTTCATTCACGCTAGTTCTGTAAGTGGGAGAGCAGGGATGCTCAACTTTTGAACCTGTGGGTTGGACAACTATTTTGCCTTGGAGTGTGAGTTCAAATCATCCACAGATGCAGGGATAAGGATCCAGATCAGGTCAGGCTTCCCTCTCTAGCTCTGGGACCTTGGGTAAATTACATTGCTTCTCTGAGACTCAGCTTCTTTATCTATGAAATGGAAGAAGTGTTGCCCACCTCACAGGATAAAAGAAAATGCTTTTAAAGTGTCTTGTGGAGAGTCTCCAGGATGGGTCTCCAGGATGAGAGTCTCCAGTCTCTAGGATGGGTGCTCCATAGAGGTTAATTCTCCTTACCCCTCTTTTTTTGTTTTTTTGCATAAGCTTTGGTTCA